ATTGAAAAGGTTTATCAATATAAGCACTACGTCCCAAACAGTAATAAGCCTTAAAGAAACGTTAGTTTGCCGGTGCTAATTATCTCTATATTCGAAATTATTATTTACATATTACCAACTGTTTGCTTCATTCATTTGGCAAGCACATGGCACGCCAAAATTAAGGAAAACTGAGTCAACTTTCATACTCTTTTCCCGGTACTTTTTTTGGAACCTGAACTGTTCCAAATAGCAGAACTCATCGCGCTCCAAATTGAAAAGTCGCTCCATTGCAAATCCTCGCGTTTCTTCGCGCTTAGTGCGCCAAACCAGTGCGTTCAAACCTTCTCCTGGCATTTACCATTCAGAGGATAAAATGGAGTATTTCAGTTTATTTCCTATTCACAATAAAAGCGCGGACCAGTTTAGTTTTGAACAAACATTGCTGCAGACGTTTTGGAGTGTGCATGGTTTCTTGTTTTTTTAGTCGCCATTGATTTCATATATTACTACTTTTTCGAATTCGTTGACTTCTTTCTCTGAAAGCGTCCTCTACCGAAGACGAAGCCAAAGTTTATTTTTTTTTGTTTTTTTCTGGATCGCTGTGCTTTTCACTCATATTTCATAAACTTACATTAGACTTTCGTGATTTTTTCAACGTATTTGAAACTCGCAAATTTTCTCTGCTTAAGTGCAGGGTCAACGTTTATTTAAATTTGCAAATCCCCAATTAAGGATGGCTACAACAGTACATGTTACCCCTGCGCAATATCGCAAATACGGTACAGACGGGGAATTGCGATTATCCACCGGTTTCTTTCAGGTGGTTGTTTTTATTCCTTACTCTGATCGTGCATTTATTTTTCGTAATTATCTGTACGCAATATGCTTTTTAGCGTTACTTTGAAAGTGATGGAACCACAACAGAAGTTCCTATTCTACAAGTTTCGGTAGGAGTTACTTATATTATCAGTGCATTTGTTTTGGTCTATAAATTTTTTTTACAGCTTGCAAAAAAATTGGGAGAAGGCATGGCTGGCCATCCTGATTCATGTCTTAGATTGCGTTTAACAGACGGGGCTTTTCACTACTCTGGTGAGCGCATATAACTTTACTTGTAT